ATTAATGATTTTTTTCTACACAGACAGATAGATTTCTTCTTCAGCTCAGGTATCAGACAGGTATATTACTGAACTCGAAAATGAGCTGTCAGCACCCTCACTTTGGCAAGTAGGCATTTTGTAACATCTTTCTATTTGAAGATTTTCATCTTTCAAATCTGACTCATTTTAATATGAGACAATTCTTTGAAACTGGGGGTTTCAAGAAAATAAACAAAAAACAGGGTTTTGTTTTGGGTTTTTTTTTTTTTAACATTCATGATTTCTTTCCAACATAATCCCACTTTCTATTTCCAGGTCCAAAAGATAAAGGTGAGATCAATACTACTACACGTAGGATAATCAGATTTGTATGCTAATTCAACCACATGTGGTAATTTCAAAAGTAGACAAAATGTAGGCTAATTCAGAAAGTGTTTTGATTTGGGGGAAAAAAGTCGTATTCAACCACTTTTTCAAGCTTTAGATAACTTTAATTGTTTGGCAGAAGGTAAGGTAGGCTAGGGTTGTACCTTAGAGCAGTGACACTCAATCAAGGTGCTATGAGGTGCTACACCATGTTAGCACTGTCAGGTTTACAAACACGATTCACAAGATACATACAGAGATTTCAAACAGAAAACCATAATTATGATCTTTCTGAATTCGTTGTAAAAAAATCCCCTGCTATGTTATTTTTTTGTAGTCAAAAAGAGCTGGCATTTTCTGAGGGGCACCTCAAACCTAAAAAGCTTGAGAACTACTGCCTTAGAGACCAATTGATTCAGAGAGACACGAACTTTCGGAGGAAACAACCTACTTCATCAGATGCTAGAAACCGACCTTTTATTCACTGATCCATTCCTAACATCTGACAAAGTTGCCTACAAAAGCTCCTGCATTTCTGAACCAATTAGTCTCTAACATACTACCCTACTCAGGGCTGGATTAACGCATAGGCAAACTAGGTACACACCTAGGGCTAAAAGTGAAAAAGGAGCCCAGTTGTGCTTATTTTACATATTATAATTATTGAGTGGGAAAAAAAAGGAATATAAATATACAGTATTGTTTTCTTGGAGCCCACTAAAGGGTTAATCCAGCCCTGACCCTACCCTACTTTCTGCTAATGATTAACCACCCCTTAATTGTTTGCATTATGCCACATGCATGTGGATATGCCAAAAGGCATGTTATGCATGTGATTTTGATTGTAAAGGTGTGTGTAACAGCAGACAATGACTCCAAATAGGAATTTAAATAACTTAAAATTCTAAGAGGCGATGGTGATCAAAATAATTCATTAAAATTAATAACTCTGGAATTCACATACAGTATTTCCAGTTTTCAAATCTGGGAACACTGGGTCCAATCCTGTTTGAGTAAAAATTGGAACCTGACAGTTCAAAAAGGGCTGCACCAAATGGGACCTGCCAGTTCTGTCTTTTCCCTGGAGGATCCTGATCCCACCAGCAGCATCTATATCTGGTGTCTATTTATGCATGTGGAATCTGACAGCAGATTAGAATCAGGCAGGGAAGCCTCAATGTCAGTGCTGATAATTCTTCAGAGGTACAGCAGCCTGTAGCTCCCTCCCCTACTATACACATTAAATCTCCCCCAGGCATCATTAACTACCTTAACCTCCTGACATAGACCTACTACACTCTCCAACTGCTCTCCCATAACTTTCCAGTTTCTTCCCCTCTCCACAGGCCCCGATTACAACTGTACTACTATAGCCACTACCCTATTCTGCTCTATCTCTCGATTCTTTTCTTGTTCCTGGCCTCATTTTTTGCCCCTCCTCCACCTCTATTAATGGTCCTAATTTGTTGTGCCATGTAAAATATACATTATTGATTTTATGGGGCAAGGTCTGTCTACTTCCTAATGATTTTTTTTAGCACTTTGCACATTCAGGAGGCTCTCAAATATAATTTGTCCCCATTCCAGAACGGCACACAATTTAAAATTAACGTTGCACAAAGTGAGGCAAAACTAAGATCGCACCACAGTCACATAAGACAATTACAAATCTTGATTCCACTAATTTTATTTCCTTCCATCTCCCTTAATGCAAGACTGAAGCAAACCTTTAAGAACGAACTTGAGTGGGGAAAGAACTGAAATGATGAAGAGCTTTTGGATAAGGAGTCTACATGTCTTGAACAGCCAAAATGGCAGAAAAGACAATTAAGAGATTTCACTGATACAGAAGATAGCGGAGAATGCTGAAGGAGGTAAATTGGAAATAAAAGCAAAGCTGCCTATGGTTAGCACTTAAATGTAGAACATGATTTTTTTCTTGAACTTATAAGCAGTGATGCTAAACAGTTATAATTATTTCATAACAGCGAGTTTTTAAAATAATTTACAAACTAAGATTCGTGCAAGTTTTTAAAATCCTGCATGCCCACAGGCATCAGCCAATTTAACTTTAAGGTGTTATAAAGATCACATAAAATATATATATAATCTGTAACGGTAACAAAAATGTTACTGTGTAATGTCTCCAAAAGGCATCACACCAGAGATATAATCAAAACAGAAACTCTACAGGCAGGTTCTCAAACTGTTCATATAGTAAACTGGCTAATCACTTGATACCACAAGGAGATATGCTTTACTTTCCCTGCACTGATGTGTTTACTTTCACAGGACCAGCCTTTCCCGAGACGCATTTATTTCTAGTCCCTTCTCTGCAGCTTCATCCCAGAGCTTAGGGTGAACTAGATTCTAGAAAGTATCAAAATCAGAAATCCTGTGTCTACAGGCTAGGCAGAAAGCCAAAGGCACACCTCTGTCTATGAGAGATTCCATTAACTCATTCAGCTTATACTACAAGAATATCTGGTTCATCACATTGCCAGAATTTCAAGTCAAGTCAGTCCCAAGGCTGTTGTGACCACTGGGGCACTTTAGATGCGGTAACAACCCTCCTTAGTTGAGTTGCTTTCCATCACTGGTGATTCTTTGGGCAAAGTGACCTGGTAACGTCCATCTCCTCTCCAGATATGGATGGTCGTTGGCTCGCAGGGAGTTCATTCGCTCTTTAACATATCTTGTTCAGTCCTGCTGGCTGTCCAGGCAAGCCAGGTGGGGGTTCCAGTTTAGTCACTGACAACCCAACCATGGAACAGGCTATACTGGTTTACATGTTCCCCTGAGCACTCCCAGGAGTGACTAGAAATAGTGGTCACAAGCTGGCAGAGGGTAGATTCAGACTAGACATCAGGAGGCGCTACTTCACTGTCAGGGCAGCTAGGACCTGGAACCAACTTCCAAGTGAAGTGGTGCTGGCTCCTACCCTGGGGGTCCTTAAGAGCAGGTTAGTAGATGAGCACCTTGCTGGGGTCGTTTGACCCCAGTACTTTTTCCTGCCATGGCAGGGGGTCTGACAAGATGATCTGCTCAGGTCCCTTCCGACCCTACCAACTATGAAACTATAAAACATGGTAACAGATAACGGACAAAGAGAGGTCTGGCCTGACAAGGTGTCCGGATTTGGCAGCACAGAAGAACCCAGCTCCTGATGTCTTAGGTGACAGATGTAAGGAAAAGATTATTAAAACAAATAATTTTATTCTATGCCAATTATTAAAGACAACCCCAGGACAACCGGGTTGCTAGATGGATGCATATCTCCTGACAAACATCACCTAATACCTTCCTATCAAACCTGACAGAATATAAAAACTTACTAAGGAACTCAACCTACTCCCTGACTTTAGCACCCTCTGCAAAAGCATTAGGACTTGTCCAAACAGTCCCTAATTCCATGCATTTCCTGAACATTTCAGTTCAGAAATGGCAAAGCTTACCTCCACATTAAAGCATTCCCTTAAGAACTAAAGCAAAAAAGAATAAGGCTGCTTATTGCAATATATAAAAGAGTGACAATACCCACACAGCAGCAGTAAGGTTTAGATATCCCTTTTGGACAGAACCCACTATTTTACAAAAATTCACATGCTTAGTTACCATAGTGACAGCCATTTCAGAAATGGATCAGGACAGAGCAGCATGCTCAACTGCTTAGTTCTAATGAAGCACTACAATTCTCAAAAAAAAAAAAAATCATCTGAGAGCTATGAACATCAACTTTAATGTGCCCATTACTGCTTGGCAAGGGGGGAGGTGAGAAAATGAGAGAATAATGGGAGTAAAACAGGTCTAGAACATTAGTGTACAGCAATATGATCAAGATTATCTTATGCCACCAGGCAAATGGATTAGATAATCCAAGCATTTCCTCTGAAACTCTCATTTCTATGATTTAATTACACCTCATCACCGGGGTCTTAATGAGATTTTTTTTTTTTTCAGCTGAGTGTACATATGCTAAAAGAAATGAAATGACTTACCTTAAGTAGCTCCTCCCACACTGCAGCTCACAGTCCTACCGGTTTCCTGAGCAGCAGATCCTATGACTATTCAAGATCTACACTAAAAACCACAAGAGGCCATCTAACATTTAACACAACTGAAGCATAAAATGATCAACATGTTTTAGGCTTCAAACTCCTGTGATCAGCTTCTCCAATTTCAATCAATCCACTCAAAAGACCTTTTTTTCCCCACTGGCCTTGTTAATTTCTACTAAATAGCAATCTCTATAAGAGGTCAAGGAACATTTCCAACATTTAAAAAATAAATCTTCCAGAGACGGTAAAACAAACCAAATTGGAAATGGACTTGTATATTTAGCTAAATATATTTTAATATGCAAAATCAGTCATGCTGCCTGCTTTGCAATGCTAAAAGACTAACTTGTTCAAACCAGATTACAATGTTAAAACTTGATTGCATACAAATTTAAAATTTGACACAGTTCTTGTGTTACTATCACTTCCAATTACAGACGTTTTCCGAGCTAACATGTGAAGTACAAGGTTAAATTACAACTGTAGCACAGACCTCAAAATGTACAGGAAGAAAATGACACAACTACACAGAACATTGACAAATACGCATACCAGCTAAACGCGCAATACTGATACCCTGAGAATAATAGTTACCGATTCTGAAATGATTTTCCAGCAATGTTGTCCCTGTAAGAATCAAACAAAACATGATACTGGTCTCGACTCCACTCCAGAACAACCTGTAAAGAAAAGAAACGTGGTGTCACCTTTTTGAACATGTAACTGATGATTTCTCTTTCTTCAAAAGTTTTAGCAGTGTACATTTAATTAAAGCATTCTGTGTACATTAACACATACAGACTGGGAATTAAGCCACATAAAAATGTCACATTTAGTCTCTAAAGAAACGAAAACCTGAAAACCAGGTCACCCTAAACAAAACAAGAAAAAAAGGCAAGTTTACAGACTGTCAATGAAGCTAAGGGACATGGACTGCCATACCAGATCGAGCTGAGTCCACCCAGTGCAACAATACATTGCTGTCAGTGGCCAGAAACCCAACAGTGGACAATTATGGAGTAGCCTGCCCACAGAGTATCTATTTTTCCCAAACCTTCATCAGTTAGAAGCTGGCTTCTACCATAAAGCATACGTTGATATTTTATCATGTGCAACTCTGCTGGCATTTAAACAAATGAAACATACCAATGAGCCCTGCATCTTAGAATGACTAACAACTTAAAAGTTGTTCACTGCTTATCACATTGCAGATGTTTGCTAATTAGACTAAGCAACATTTTTATAAGTGGCTTCTTAATGAAGAAAACCACTAGTTTATGCTATCTACCAATCCAATAACATCTGTGTAAAAAACTAGCTTACATAAAAATAAGTCCAAATATTCACATCTCTATTACTAAAATTAAAAGTTTTTTCACAAACAAGGGATATTTATCATTGAGGTAATTTAAACTCACCAGTTTCTCTTGCTTTTTTACCACAAAATAATAAATAAGCATGAGACATCTCAAGGTGAAAAATACAAGGAAAACCTGGCACTTTAGTTTTACCAGGAGGTAAACTTGCTGAGGCTATGTTTAGCAGTGGAAAGTCTGAGTTAAGGATCATAGCAGCAAATACTTTTCTCCAGTTCTTGATTAGATGTTGTTCTGGAAAAATCCCAAGTGTACTTTTCAGCATTAGGGAGAAAGAAAAAAAATCATCAAAA